TTTTTTTTTCTTTCTTTCTTTCTTTCTTCCTTCCTTCTTATTTGCCCCCTACCCACCCCTCCCCTACACATATCGAGAATGCCGTCCTCCTATTGGTCATATCCCGTGCACGTGGCTCTTGTCAAACACGGTTTACATCGTTCCAGGTCGAAGCACGCTGAACATGGCTGCAAATACTCGCTCAATTCTTCTCCTTTTCCCCTAATTTTCTTTCTTATCATCTTAATTATTCCGCTAATCCTTGCAATAATGCAGAGGACACCTACCTGTAAGAATTGTTGTAGGAATTTTTGCTTCCAAGGTGAGTTTTCCGTAGTTTTAAGAGGCTTGTTTTGAGCTTACATTCAACACAACTTTTACGTGTTACTTGAAGAAAGAAAGTCACAGCAAGCTTCTTTATTGTTTATAACTCCCCGAACACTTGTCACAAACACTTTGAATTGATATCATTGCTGCTTACATAGCCAAAAATTCTCAATACAAAGTGAATGCTATACATGGAAAAATTTGGCTGTTGTCTCCAAGTCAGTCAACTCGCATCATGAACGTAGTTTTGGTTTCATTTGATTAAGGTTTTTACAAAAATAAACCCCCGAATATCCCATTGTTGCTGGAATGTGGCCATACGTTCTGCAAGGGATGTATAACAAAGCTTGCAAGACTACACAAGACCCAAGTAATATGCCCAGAATGTAACTACCCGACTGTGCTGGTCAAAGAGGGCGAAGCTGGAGTCGCAGAGCTTCAAGTAAATGTTTACACCATGGGAATAATGGCTACTAACAGTTATAGGAAGGCTTTACTGGAAAGGTATTTGGAAAACTATAGAGTAAAGTGACAAAACCTACTGTTAGAACGGTTATTAACATCACAATGGCGATGTTTATAAATGTTACATCCACCTATAGCTACTAAGCAGTCCAAGAGTTGGACATTTTTATTCTATTTTACAATCAAATGAACAAAGGAAATGAAAAGTTGTCTACAAGGAAAATGCAATCCGGAAAATTGAAATTACCCTAAGAAGGTACCCACCCCCAACTCTTAAGTGGGGAGTTCCGCCCCCTACCCCCCCCCCCCCCC